CACTAATTTATGTCACTTTCCATCAGAAATCATATTTCCTAATCCTATAAATCATTTATAACTTATATCTAAACATAGAGCTCAAAACTCAATCGACACGCTTTACGGTGCAACTGTAGCACAGTCTTTTTACTCGGTAAAAATACTATTCACCAAATTTTCTGAAACTTGCCTAACTACTCAATTTTTCGTTCTAAATCCATTTTCAGGGTTATTTTTATCATCTATGAACCGATTGATATCTTCAAAGGATATTTCTGCTTTGAAAATATTTTTTGAAGAGTTTTTTATTTGATGTTCTTAAAAAGAAGAATAAGAAGGTAGAGATTATTTAAAAGAAAGCTTAGAAGAAAGAGATATGAACATAATTGCAAATAATATAATTCCCCATGATATCATCACCCTCGTTTAGTTCCATAAGAAGATAAAGATATATCTAAATTAAATTTTATCAAATGAGATACATCTTAAGATTTTAATGTAACTTACCAACAAATTGTCTGAGTTCCTCTTGATCTCTCTCATAGCATTGACAAATTAGACTTACTGCCACTCACAGGACTTACTACTACAGCTGTATAAGTTAGAAGAACTTCATCTCTCCTCGTATAATCATAGTCGTTTGTAAAACATGCTAAAATGTTAACACAAAGCTCATATAGATAACAAATAATTTAGATCCATGCATATATTTCTACTTCCCCATCAGGCTCTGATACTAAAATAGGGACTGAAAGAGGCAATATATATATATATATATATATATATATATATATATATATATATTGGGGATTATGTTTCTCATGTTGCTTTGTCTCGTGCAATATACAATAAAGTAGATGAGACCCATTGAGAAGAAGAAAGAAAGAAAAAAGTGGGTCTTATCCACTTTTGTGTATTACATGAGACAAAATTATCTCATGCAACATGTATATATATTGGAGAATATGTTTTTCATGTTGCATGAGACAAATTGTCTCGTGCAACATACAAAAAAGTAGATGAGACCCATAAAGGAGAAAAGAGAGAAAGAAAAAAAGTGAATCTCACCCATTTTTTGTGTCTCATGCAACATGAGAAACATACACATAAAAGTGTGTGGGGTCTATATTTTCTTTCTCTCTTTTTCTCTTCACATAACCCCACATGGCCCCCACACACTTTTATGTGTGTAGGAGATAAAATAGATAATTTTATCTCCTATAATATGAGAAATATTAATCCTATTTATATAATAAATTAAAAAAAATTATTATTTTTACGATATATACATATATAATAAATTTTTACAATTTATCTCACACACTGACACACACACACACACACACACACACACACACATATATATATATATATATATATATATATTGTAACAAAAAAATAAAAATAAATTACTGAACTATAAATTGTAAAAATGAGAATTTTTATAATAAAAGTTATGAAAATATAAATTGCTGAAATAAATAACATAAAAAAATTGGATTGCAATATTCCATGAAGACCGGTTAAGGGAAGAAAAGGAAAAATAAAACCATATAATAAAGTAACACTTTAATGGGTTTATATTTTAGCAAAAAGAAAAAAATTGTTGTCACCCTTAGTATTCGCTTTTATCTTTCTTTATTATTGTCATCCATGGTTTTCTCACCCTTAATTTCTTTCTTTTTCTCTCCATCTCACTTGGTAGAGTTTTTTCTAAATTTTTCAAAACGCTTTACTCATTGATTTCTCTCAATTTTGAAGCAATGAGTAATGGCTCCTCTAGCCTTTATTTATATGAAAAATATTTTCATGATAATGGTAAATTCAGTATTGTAATAGTAAAAGATTATTTACCTAATAATCATTAAAGAGAACATTTTCATGTGGAATGTCTTGAAACTTTTTGGTTAATAATTTATGATTCGATTATGATTTTTGGAGTGTTGTGAATAATAATTTATGATTGAATTATGTATTTATAGAGTGTTATTTGTAATAATTTGTTATTAAATTATGTATTTTGGAGTGTTGTTTGTAATAATTTGTGATTGAATTGTGATGTAGGTTATATGTACAATTTTTTTTTACAAACTACACTATGTACTATGGGTAGTACATGCTCAAGTCGTATGTACTACCCGTAATACATAATGTAGTTTGTAAGAATTTGTAAACAAAAAACTTGTAAATACAACCCTTCCCTAGAATTATATATTTTGGAGTATCATTTATGATTGAATTATTATTATTATGAGGGAATTACATGAACTAATTTATTCTTAGTATTTTTTTAAAAATAATATACAAAAATAAGAGATTGATTGCATTTCTTAACAATTGATCAATTATTATTATTAATATTATTATTATTATTAATAATAATATTCTTATTATTATTATTATATATAACATTTTTTGAGAAAATAGTCTACTGTAATTAAAAGCGAAAAAAAAATATTTCCTTACAGTAGGAGACAAAATTATCTCCAACAGCTTTAAAACGATTTATTTTGCAGTTTAGAAAAAAGAAGAAGATATTTTAGAGATTTTTTTTTATAATGAATTTTACTAAAATACTTTTTTTTCAAATCCAAAATAGCATTATTTTGAGTAACAGGAAATGACTTTATTTTTTGTCGCAGGATAAATGTTAATCCCCTCGAAAATTTCAAACCCATATTGAGAGTAAAAATCGTATTGAAAATCATAACATTATTTTGTGTGAAATCTTGCCCTTCTAAACCTGAAAATGCCGGAACGGATTCTATTTTAACCAAAAATGTAAGTACTTATGAACTAGAACTAGGGATATAAATAGGTTAGGTTAGATTAGGCTTTGGCTTAAATAGATAGGTCGGTGTAAAAACATTGAGTATGGCCTGGCCTATTAGCCTGTGTATGCCTCAAATTACAAGTCTGGTCTAACTTATATTTCAAAAATAAAAGCTTTGGCGTAGGCCTGTTAGCCTGTTTAGGCCTATTAAACATTCAACAATTAAAAGAATAAGTAAAATAATATTATTTTATTATTCAAAATTATTAAAATAATAATTTTATTTATTATATTTAAAATAAATAATATGATATCGGCAGGCCTGTAGGCTTATAGGCTCGACATGTACAAAAAAGCCTATGACATGTTTTTTAAATATGTTTTTTTAAAAGCTTAGGTCTGTTCTATTTACTATTTATAATAGGCCAAGTCTGCCCTAATATAAGCTAGGCCGTAGGCCCATATAAACCGGTCTAACTCATTTACACCCCTAACTAGAACTACTATTAGTGGTAGATATTTCAAGTCTGATATGATTTTTAACGTCATCCATGTAGATACAATAACAAATGTTCAATTTTATATCAGTTCATTTATTTATTTTTTTACTTAAATAATAATGATAATAATAATAATTATTATTATTATAACAACGACGAAAACTCTCTCTACTAGGGGTGTTCATCAACCGATTCAAACCGTGGTAACCGAATTGAAAAATCGATAACCGAATAAACCGAAAACAGAAAAATCGAAAACGAAAAAAATCCGCAATTTTTAATTGGATTGGATCGGTTTCCGGATGGGTTGATAAAAACAGATCCAATCCAAACCGATCCAATATATTAATTTTTCTCTACCTACTTGGGCTTTTCCCCAATCGTAACCCAAAAATTTCTAAACTCAAGACCTCTTAACCCATCAACTACACCCAAGAAAAAATCTAATAACGTCTCATCAACAAAATTTCATCTGTGTAAAGCTTCATATCTCATTGCTAAAAAAAAAAACTATATTATCGTTTAATGATGCTTTTGTATTTCAAAAAAAAAAAATTTACAAAGCCAATATATTCAAAAGATGTTATTTGCACAATAATCATGAAACAAAATTTAGGATTTTCAAAAAATCGAAAACCGATCCAATCCAAACCGAAAAAAATTGGATTGGATCGGATCGGATTTGAAAAAAAATCCAAACCGAATGGATGATTAAATAATCAAACCGAAGGTATTGGATCGGATGATTTTTGCTTTCAAAACCGATCCAATCCAAACCGCGAACACTCCTAGTCTCTATACAAATTTTATAGTTTCATTTGAAAATTCAATTGTTATTCTCTGTCATATTTTTGTAAAAAGCATAGCAGTAAAATAAGGAAATTATAGTTTTTTATTTTCTTATTCGACCGAACGAGCAAATCAAGGAAAACAGCAAAAAAAAGAAAAGCCAAAATCTTGTTTAACATATGACAAAAACGAGTATCGATTTGTTATATATTTTATTTAAAGTATATAAAAAGAGAACAAGAAGTTTTTTCGTTTTAAAATAGTAATATATTTATTAATTACTTATAGATCGCTTATAAAAATTAGAGCAATACCTACAGAAGAAAATTGTTTGTAGTGAGAGTGACGAAACAAATAACGGTTATTTTCCTATATTAATTAGATTGAAGGATTTCAATACAGTTTTTCATCAAAGGTTTATGATTTAAAAATTTCTCACTTGAATTATTTCATAAGCATCTAACTAACCAAGAGAGAGAGAGAGAGAGAGGATGCAAATGAAACCAAAAAATGGTGAAGCTTGCATATGAAACTAAGTTGCGCGCTCTCTTCATAGGAAACGCAAGGGCACAATGTTCCAACGTGTCATTTTGATGATGTGCATAGAAACAGGCGTCGTACTGATTAAGCAAATAGAGCTGAAGAAAACTAGAGCGAAGGGTACTACTTTTCATACAAAAGAATGGATTTAGGGGTAAAAGGCCAATGATTCTTGTCGTAAAAGCAATGGTTTTTTTTTTGTCTTCTTTGCTACTTTTTGGCTATATATCATACAAAAGTTATAGACGTGTGATTGAATAAGGTTGTCATTTTCGTCTGCATGCGTTTCATCACTAAGCTTTTGTGGTGTTTTCTTCCTCTTAGGTCGGCAAAACAGTTCTTTTTATAGAGAGTTTGTGATCCTAGACAGCTCATGTTGTGAAGAGGATAGAGAGGTTTCAGAGTTAAAGAAGAAAATGTCAACAATGGACTTGAGGCAAGCGTTCGCTGGACTTCTTACTCTCTCAATGTTCATAATGCTGGGTAACATGATCAAGAAGGACCATATTGATTCCATCATTGATGTAAGTCTCTTCATACATATCTTACTTTTTCATGAGCTTAATTACTTTCTTTTTATGGTTTGAAAATTTAATCTGCTACTATGAGATTGAGATGTCATTTAGATACGATACTTGAAATATTATCATACTTCCTTCTTTGTGTTAGTGATTCGTATAAGCGTGCATGACGTTGAAGTTATTTACAGTTTTTATTTGAATTATTTGATTCCGAAAATTTTCTATTTTCCTTTCTTGAGAATTTTTTTTTTTTTTGAGAAAATTTATTCATGAGGTCGATAAATTAAACAATTAGAGAAAAATTAATTTAAGAGTAAAGTTTATACAAGAATATATTAGATTTTCTTTTAGTTACAAAGGAAGACAATGACAGATTAGATTTAGGGCAAGTTTAGGCTATGGTATAGACAAATTTGCTTGACTAAGACTTGATTCCAACATCAAGTAATTCCCAAACAAAGATAATACAACTTCTGCCAAAGTTTTGAAAATGTATTTAGATACTTATTATATGATTTGGATGATAATATTTATTTATTTTGAGTTAGTGTTTCGGAGCCATTTGTTATTAGAGAGACACATAAAATATTACCACTTTCATTTATGCCAAATGATGAGGAATTTAAAATTTTATCTTAAACATAAATATTAAATGACGTAATACGCAACATGCACGCAAGATGAGAGAGAGAGAGAGAGAATACTTAAGTAAAATGAAAAAAAAAAAAAAAAAAAAGAGTATGTGTGTCATCACATGCAACCTGGCGCAACATGAGAAAGAGAAATGTGAGTGGACCTAGCATACAATTTTTTTAGTATGAATTTAGATATCTATCTCTCAATCTGCACGCAAGATGAGAGAGAGAGTACTCAGTCTAGACGTAGTATGAAAGACTAAATGAACATTAGAGAGAGAAATATTAACGGTCCCAGCATACAAATTGAATATGGATTTAGATATTTTACTATATGATTAGTAACAATTTTTTACCTGCATGCAAGATGAGAAACAGAGAGAGAGAGAGGCGATACTCAGTTTAGATGCAATATGAAAGAAAGGGAGAGAAAGAGAAAGAAATGTGCTCCTAGCATAGAATTTTTTGGTATGAATTCAGATATTTTACTATATGATTTGAATGATAACAACAATTCTCTTTCTAGGTTCAGTGTTTTGTACACTTTTTTTTTTTTGGTAGAGTTCCACATAAAATATAACTTCTTTCATTTATATCAAATGATGAGGGATTTAGGATTTCATTTTAGAAATAAATCAAAATATTAAATGACGCAATACGCAAACCACACGCAAGATGAGAGAGAAAGAGGGTGTTTGTATGTGTGTCACAATATACAACCTCTAGCATAATGTGAGGCGTAGGAAAACATAAAGTTTTTGATTTGGACATATTTCATAGTAGAGTCACATAAAATATAAATATCACTTATTTCATTTATGTCAAATGATGAGGGATTTATAATTTTATCTTAAACATAAATCAAAATATTAAATGACGTAATATGCTACCCGCGCGCAAAATAAGAGAGAGAAAGAAGGCATGTGTGTCACAATATACACCCTAGCTAGCATGACGTGAGGGGAGAAAAATATAGAGTTAGTGATTTGGACACATTTTTTAGTAGAGACACATAAAATATCACTTCTTTCATTTATGCCAAATGATGAGGGATTTAGGATTTTATCTTAAACATATAAATCAAAATATTAAATGACGTAATACGCAACCCACATGCAAGATAAGAGAGAGAGAAGGAAGGCGAATGTGTCAAGATATACAGCCTAGCATGACGTGAAGGGGAGAAAAACATGGAGTTAGTGATCATTTGGACTCATTTTTAAGTCGAGTTACATATAAAATATCACTTCTTTCATTTATGTCAAATGATGAGGGATTTAGAATTTTATCTTAAACATAAATAAAAAAATAGATGACGTAATACATAACCCACATGCAAGATGAGGAAGAGGGAAAGAAGGTTTATGTGTCACGATATACAACCTAGCATGATGTGAGGGGAGAAAAGCATGGAATGATCCTAGCATAGAATTTTTCAGTAAGAATTTAGATATATATTTTTTTTTTTATAACAAGAATTTAGATATTTTATTACATGATTCAAATGCTAATATTGATTCTCTTTCTATGAGTTGTTGATTTGGACTCATTAATTTGTTTGTACAATCTAACATTGTATATGGTCTCCTTCATTAATTTCGAATGATGAGGGATGTGGGATTTTATCTCAAACAAAAAAAATTCGATATCAAATATTGTGATATACGAGAGCTATATGCACATAGAGGTGGCAAAATGGACAGCCCTCCTCGTACCATCCTGCTATCAACATGCCTACAAATGAGTCATTTCGTCCCTTTTTTTTTTTTTTTTTTTTTGAAAATTTAAAATAGTCATTTTGATGCTTACTAGCCATTAATGAAATGAGACAGAGAGAGAGATTACGGTCGAACTTGCACTTGAAAAAGTTATGAACGTTGATGAATCAATTGACTAGGTATTTTGTTTATGAATCATATGACAAACTACACAGTGGGATGGGGTGGGCTTTTGTTTATGCGTCGGACATACGACAAATTCCAGTTTCACTGAAATTTTAATAAAGTTTCAAGAAAAACTAAATTCTACATGGGCCTCAATCGTTAGGTTAGGTGTAATAATAAAAAAAAGGGTTGGCGAGGCGGATTTGACAAGGTGAAAAACTTAGCGTCTCACCCCATTTGGTAGGCGGGCTGGTCCAAGGATTCAAGCTTATAAGAAAAAATCTTATTAGTGTCGTAAGTTTCGTCACTACATATGAAATTTCGTCACAAATTCCTGAGTCGCAAATTTATTTGTGACGAAATTTGATTATTTGTGTCGAAAATTGTCATTTGTGACAAAATTTTTTGTCACAAATAAACTTTTTTCTTTGCTACTCTACATACATGGTAAGAGAGGGTGAGAGGAGGAGAGTGAAAGAGATGTCATGATATATAACATGGTGCAACAAGATTAAGAGAGCTACTATAGAATTTTTTAGTATGAATTTAGATATTTCACTATATTTTGGACCCATTTACTAGTAGTCACAAAAAATATCACATCTTTCATTTATAACATCACTATATTGTGTTTGTATTGTGTCATGATATAGTGTTTGTATGTGTCATGATGTACGATAATTCAGTCGACCATCTCTGAGAAAAGAAAAAAAAATAACTTTTAAAATTATAACTATATATTATCCCTAATACATAATTTTAATTCGTTGCAGGAAAAAAAATGATAATTATATTTTCCTTATCTTAAACATATGAAATCAAAATATTAAATTTCATGATATGCAACTTGCACGCAACATGAGAGAGAAAAAGAAAAGGAATGCTCATTTTAAAATACGGTATCAAAGAGAGAGAATGTATGTATTTATTATGCGGAAAAGAATTTTATAATGTACAATCTAATATAAAAACAACCTATTATAATGTACAACCTAATTTAACATGAGATAGAAAGAGAGAAATCCCAATGATACTAATATAAAATTAGGAAATCATAATATGCACTTGCAGTAAATTTAATTTGTCTCCTGCTTTCACCATAAAAAATCGCACATCCTTTTTTGGTTTTTTTGTTTGTTTTTATATTTAGGTGGGCTCCACCATTTTTTCTGTGTGCTGGAGAGAAACTGTCCTTTCTATTGCAGGAGAGCCATCAACCCCTATAAAATTAGGGATAATAATATGTTAGGCATTCTAACTGAACCTATGACTTAACCCGCATTAAGCCTATTTAATATATAAATTAGGTTTTTTTAATATATTTAGCTAAAAGGGCTATCTAAAACGTCTTAACTCTAAGGAATCAAATTATTCTCATATCAAATAATGGTAACTTAGTTGACTAGGGAATTGAGCATATGGGAAGAGTATGTATTTGATTTTCTCCAGTATCGTCATTGGGAGGAATTTAAAGCAGTAATCTTGGATCTGCCACGAATCGGACTAGTCGCGAAATAATAAACCGATTGGAATATCTCAAAAAAAAAATTATTCTCTTTTTACGATTCGATATTTTGGACCCATTTGTTAATAGAGGGCCGACACAAAAAATATTATCACTTTCTTTTTTGGGAAAACATTTTCTCCTTTTAAAGGAGAAAATGTTTCTCATGTTAGTGACTCATAATATAAGTAGGGCCCACAAAATAGTGGAGAGAAAAAAAATTTCAAAGTGAGACCCACTTATGCTATGAGTCACTAACATGAGAAAAATTTTCTCCTTTAAAAAGGAGAAAATGTTTTCCCTTCTTTTTTTTAAATGGGTTGAAGAGAATTCACTTGTTGACTCAAAATTGCTTAAATTTCATATTAGAGTCCATTTAATTACGAATATTACTTGGCTCATTTTCTTAACTAATTGGAGAGTTTTGGATGGTTCTAACTAATTTTCATGTAAACAGCATTAGCCACGTGAAGATTTTGGATCATGCAGTTTTCTCTTTCTATTTTATTCAATTTTCCTATTTCGAGTTTGAAGGTGGTAATCTCTTGAATTGGAACAACATAACTAATGAAGTTCTGTTTGAACTTAAGGATATGAAGGTTGATATTCAAGCTGCACCAGTTTCCATGCATGCCTCTGCAGCAGTTACTGAACAAAGCTTAAACACGGTTTCGCATCTCAGCAAAGGGCCTCAGAAGGTAAATGGTGAAGGACTAAAACCATGTTGGAATGCCCCTCCACTGAGTAAGTTTCCATCTTTCACTATTTATCTAGTTTTTGTTATTTAATGATGAAAGCATTAACAAATAGTTACAACACCATGTTATTTCATGACTCCTTTTTTACTTGCAGAAGAAGCAGAACAATCTAAAGGTTTCATCACATTCCCCTTAACAAATGGCCCTGAGTATCATATCTCACAGGTTTGTTGCAACACTTTCATATTCTTTTGGTTTGTATTACAAATTTCCAATGGAAGTTTAACCTTGAAAAGGTTTCTATTCTTCTTATTCTTTTTCTCCTTTCAGTTTTACTTCTTTTTTTTCTGATTTTACTATTTCTTGCACAGATTGCTGATGCAGTGGTGGTAGCCAGATATCTGGGAGCCACTCTGGTGCTTCCTGACATCAGGAGTATCAAATCGGGATATAGCATGTGCGTGCTCTATATAACACGATAAGTTTCTGTTTGAAATCATTTCTATTTCTACGTTTTATATCAAACTGACTTAATTTATGTACAGTGTTATATACAATTTCCAGCGTTTCAATTGTAGTTTGTCACCGACCATTCCATTTTGTCATAATATTTTCGATCATTGTCTTCTATTCAGAATATGCTTTAGATTTATCATATTGCCCTGCTTAAGATGTAAGTTTGAAGAATTTCTTGTTATTATTTGTTTATGTGTGTAGTAGTTTATTATCTGAGCCTTGCCTTTCCCAAATCACCCCAACAAAGTTCGCTATCTCTTTTACCTAATTATCAATGCAGACTTTTGTGAGGGCTTCTCTCAAAGGAATATCAAGGAGGCATGACTCACCTTAATTTGTTCACATGAATCATCTAAGTGGTGTATATTTGGCTCAACATTTTCACTTGCTTTTTCACAATATGCCTTATAAAGTAGGCCATATATAACACACAAATGTTGATTTCATTTCTAAGTTTGATTAATTATTTGCAATACTTAACACACTTCAGAATTTACCTCAATATTAGTTAATCATATTCTAGACAGTAATGTTATGTAACTCATTATCACCTTCAAATAGTGGCTTAAAACTCCATTGGGCTCTTAAGAGCTTCCCATGTGTAAAATTACAACTATCAGTAGTATTCTTGAGTAAAGCGAATTGGTTATTTGATATATCTAGTTCTTACATATTTGATTTCATTTCAGGGGCCTTGGAGAAATTTATGATGTTCAGAATGTTTTGAATAGGCTACATGGGTTGGTGAGAGTGACAAGGACACTCCCTGCCCAAGTATCCAATAGAAACCCACCAATAGTCAGGGTTCCTAACAGGGTCTCTGAAGACTATATTGTGAAGAAAGTTCAGCCAATATACAAAGCAAAAGGGATTGTAAAGATAGAAACATACTTTCCCTCGGTCAATACAACAATGGCAGGAAATAAGAAGAACCTTGACTCGTTTGCATGCCAAGCAATGTTTGGAACTCTTCAGTTCCAACCAGAGATACAAGAAGTAGTTGAGTCTATGGTCCAAAAGCTACAAACATGGAGTCAGAACTTAAATGGCCAGTTCATTGCAGTGGACTTGAGAACTGAGGAGTTGGGAAAGGAATGTCAAAGAAAAGATGGCACAGGAAGAAAACTTTGTTACCAGCCACTGGAGATAGGCCAATTTCTCAAGAAGATTGGATATAATCAAGAGACTGTTATTTATGTGACTCAGACCAAATGGAATCATGATCTTGAAGCACTCAGAAATATCTTCCCAAAAACCTATACTAAAGTAATTTGTCTATGTTCTGAATTTCAATGTCACTGTCAAACTTTTTTAATGTCATATTGCTGAATGAAGTCTGCATATCTTATGGTGCAACAGGAAAGTGTAATGCCAGCAGCTAAGAATGGAAAGCATCTAAGCCCAGAAAGCACTGAATTTGAGAAGATCATTGATTTCTACATATGTTCTAAGAGTGATGTCTTTGTGGCTCCAAATCCTGGCCTCTTCTATGCCAATGTTGCTGGGATGAGGATTGCTTCAGGGAAAAACAAGATACTTGTTCCAGGTGAAATAACAAGTCCATCAGCTTCAGCTTCTGACTACATGTCTCCCTATGTGTACCAGAAGAGCCATTTTGCTTATGCATGCTTTTGCTAAATTATAGATTCCCTGCTCTGAGTTTAGCGTTATGCAAGTATGCTTGTGTCTGTTCAAGATGGCAACTATGCTTGTCGTTAAAATAATAATCAAGTGTCTACCAATATGTTTCTATTTCGAGATGTTTATGTCCATGCAAGCGAAGTAAAATCTAATGCAGTATGTTTGGTAATTGGTAATTCGTTTATTATATGATTACTAATTTAAGGTTTTCAGAAACCGCACCCATTCACGAGTTCAATCTGATTTCGGAACAAGCTAAAGTGGGATTGGAGCGGATTCTGTCACGTGATATTTAAAGCGATCGTGTCATGGGGGAGTATCTAACCATAAAAAATGAATTAATGCTAATAAGAAAAAAGAGAAAAAATAAAAAAGGATAGGTTATTCTGCTTATTTTGTCTACATTTACCTACCCCTTCCAATACCGTTAAATTACAATATCACCCAATTCTACATTTGTCTACCCCTTCCAATATCCTTAGATTACAATCCCATCCAATTATGAATATTTGCGGAATAAAATAAATTATTGTTCCTCTCTTTCTTTCTCCTCACACACCCTTTCTCACTCCTCCCCTTTCTCTCTTCCTCGACAATCATTAGAATATTAGGAAAAGCCAAAGCATGATTATATGATATCGTAAGTTGCTGAAAAAAAGCATCAGTAAGAATTTATCTGTTCAACAAATATAAATCTTTCAATAGTCTAAAGAGTAAACATTCAAGCTATTAGTATCACTTAATTTTAACTTCGTATGTTTACCTATAATGGGGGAGATATTTCGCTGTTACAGCTTGAATGCTTTACATGATTTTTTTTAAAGGTTAATAATCTCAATCCATGATTTCTCTGTTTAGGGTCTATTTGTTTTTAGATTTTTTTTGAGGAATTGATTGTAAAAAAATTAATTTGTGGAATTTGAAAAGAATTGATAAATTCCTTTTGCTGTGATGATAAAGGCCATAAATTCTTTTCTCGAAGCTTCATCCTGTCTCGAGGAAGAGAGAAAGGGGAGGAGAGAGAAAGGGTGTGGGGTTAGTTAGGAGAAAGAAAGGGAAAAAAAAGATTTATTTTATTTCGTAAATATCCACCATTGAGTGAGATTGTAATCTAAGAGCCTGTTTGGTGTGACGTATAAGGCCTGACAATATAAGCTTATACTATACGTTATGACATTTTTATTTGTTTAGTGTGACCATGGTAGTTAAAATCTGAATTTAAATCTTAAAATCCTGATTTTAACGATTTATTTTTGCTAAAACGATTTAGATTTCACTTAAAATTCTTTCCAATATAAAATCCCGATTTAGACATTTACTTAAGTCCCGATTTTAATATTTAAATCCCGATTTTAACTATTGGAATGATGTTACGCAAGTTAGAAAAATTGTTGAATATAACATTGCTGATGTTTCATCCGAAGATGAATGGATTGTGGAAAATGAAGGAACTTTATCTCATGATAAAAGTTTAGATGAAGACAATTTTGAATGATTAGTTGAAGATCACGTGGAACAGAATGTCTTCGATGATAATAACTTGAATGATTGATTAGCTTAGACCCTTAGAGTGTGACAATTGTATGCAAATGTATAAGGATGGTGGCAGGTAGTCTATTTTTCTTAATTTTTTTATACATAAGCATATGTATATAAAAATTTAATTTTAGAGTGCAGGTAAAATCTACGATTTATATTACGATTTTACGATTTACGATAATTTATTCCCTTTTCGATTTTAGGTAAAATCTCGATTTTGACTACCTTGGGTGTGACCATCGTATAGTATAAGCTTATACAGCAGAATCCCTTAATACATCAAAATGATGTATAACTTAATCCGGCCTAAGGAGGAGGGATAAAGCCTGATAAGAGATTAATGTATTAATATCGTTGACCAGTGCAATTCTTAAAAATTATATTATTTTAATATTAATATAATAAAATAAAAATTAATTTTTCAATATATTAATTTTTAAAATACTGAATATTTTAATTTTTATAAAAACTAATTTATGTTTTAGACAACCGGGTTCGGCGAGGTAAATGCATAAAAAAGGGACAAATACTAGATGATATTATTTTATACAATAATTTTATATAATATCGTGTCAAACGCTGGATAGTATTAAAATTCAATCAGGCCTTATACTATCAGGTCTTATACTATCGAGCCTTATCCTATATATGCACCAAACATGCCCTAAATCTGTTTAAGCAAAGCTAGGCAATATAAAAGTAGACAGAATAACCTATCTCAAAAAAATATTGAAAAAGGAAATTACAAAATCATCATAATTAATATATTCATTAATAGTTAAATTCCTCTCAAATACCAATAAGACCTGGCACAATTGGTAGATAACTGAATCTCTTAAGCATATTAACAGAGATTCAATTCCTGGATATGTATATGGAAAAGACTTTATTGGTAGAGGCAAAACCCAATTTGATGATCTATACCTTGAGAGGATTAGCTTTTGGCTATCGGCCGAGAGATACTCTTTTATTTTACTGGAAAAAAAATCTCTCACATGATATAATTATATTAAAAAAAGAATCTATTTCCAAGTGGAATAGTTCGAAGCTCAAACTACCTCATCGCTTTGTTCAAACTTCGAGAAGGTAACCAAACTGCTAATTGATTGCCAGTTTCTCCCACAAAGTTTACATTACATGACTCCAATAACTGTGGTTAGAGGTGACAAAATGGGCTTAGTGTATCCCTCCCCATCCTGTCCCGAAGTTAGCTCACCAACTTTTTTTTTTTTTTTTTTGGCAATTCAGTGCGAGAAGGGGCATTTTGCTTGCTTTACCTGTTGTGCTCTTGGAAGGGATTGTTTTGAGTGCTCATCATCCATTCCTTACAACCGTTGCAGAGCTATTGGGAAAGTGTTAGAATCTATTAAAATATATGTCTTAATGCAAAATATGGTTGCAAAGAGATTGAATTATAGTGAAAAGAATAACCCTGAGAAGAAATGCATCTATATTCCATGTTTTTACCCACACAAAGTTGTGACTTTGTTGCCTCATCAAAGGAGTAATTCCTCCACTTCAGCAATAAACATAAAACTTCTGGAATCCAATTTTTATCCAATTAATCTTTCTATGTATCCATAAATACTTATGCTGAATTCTTTATTCTTCACGAGAAAAAACTGATGGAAATCTGTTTAATCTCAACAACGATATTGTTGAGCGTATGGGAAATGTGGGGACTATTAGTTATATAGGGCCTAACTATTCTCAACCAGAGTATAGTTAATGCATCTACATTCTATGTTTTACCCACACAAAGGTTGTGACTTTGTTGCTTCATCAAAGGAGTTATCCCTCCACTTCAGCAATAAACATAAAACTTCTGGAATCCAATTTTTATCCAATCAATCTTTCTCTGTATCCATAAATACTTATGATAAATTCCTTATTCTCCAGGAGGAAAAACTGATGGAAATCTGTTTATTCTCAACAACGATATTGTTGAGCGTATGGGAAATGTGGGGACTATTAGTTGCATAGGGCCTAACTCTTCTCAGCCAGAGTATAGTTAATGCATCTACATTCTATGTTTTTACCTATACAAAGTTGTGACTTTGTTGCCTCATCAAAGGAGTTATCCCTCCACTTCAGCGATAAACATAAAACTTTTGGAATCCAATTTTTATCCAATCAATCTTTCTATGTATCCATAAATACTTATGATGAATTCCTTATTCCTCAGGAGGAAAAACTGATGGAAATCTGTTTATTCTCAACAACGACATTGTTGAGCGTATGGGAAATATAGGGGCTATTAGTTGCATAGGGCCTAAGTCTTCTCAGCCAGCCAGAGTATAGTTAGTCTTATTCTTCTAGCTAGAACATTCAAAGAGGCACGTTAATTGTTACCAACGAATTACAAAGGGCCAAACTCGAAAGATCTAATTTTATTGGAAATAAAGAAAAATACGTAGTAAAGCAAAAAGTTATTATCCTAATAATTTCTTATAGATAAAAAAATTGATCATTAATATTAAGAAATGGTGTTATAGAATAAAATTAATAGTAAATGAAAAAGTGCAATAGTGTAATAAAATAAAATAAAAATATGAAAGAAAGTGCAACAGCACCACAAATTGAAGAAGTTAAAATTATAATTAAACAATAAAAAAAGGAAAAAAGAAAGAAACAAACAAACTTTAAAAAAAAAAATAGATGGGCTGGCGGAACGGGCGGACTTATAATTAAATAGTAAATGACTGTTCAATTTCGAGACATTTACTCAAAAGCCTACATAATTAAATCATGCAAATTACAACATAGCAAAAGCCCTCTGGATTTTTTTTTTTTTTTTGGTGAACAAAGTCCTTTGGTTTAATTTAAAGACTCCACCGTCTACGCAATTCGCAAAAACACATAAAATCAATATGAGAAATTATATTTGCTAGCCGTTATTCAAATCAAACAATTTCTTATTCGACTTCAGATTAACTTCGAAGGGAATGTTTCCAAATACTATTAAGTGAATAAAGAGAAATAACTAAAATCCAAACATACAATCAAGAACAAGCAGCCAAATTGAAGTCAATCTATATCTTTGAAAATTTTCAAATCTACGAAAAAATTAATCAGCATCTGTCAAACTAACAATTACGTTGAACAAACGCCAAGACTTTACGTTGAACAAACACCAAGACTAGTAGATAATTCCATATACTCTTGTTAAAACCTAGGTATATAACAATTCCAAATTTGTCAGGAAATTAACTAGTTAAAACGACGTTAGGTCAGTAGGAAAAGAAACGCGTTTGAGCAACCAGTATACTATTCTCCATTACAAACACACAGGCCACCTCCAGACAACAAATGAAACAGCAGAATCAGCCTGAAACAGCTATTGAGAAGCCTCAGGTTCCTTCCTTCTTGAAGTTCTTTGAGTGTGGAATCTTGAAAAAATGTTATTGAGGGGAGTTGCTGGTACTGGTATCAATTTCCCGACCACAGCAATAGGCCAA